TGTAAAATGAGGATAATATTGTGTGCATCTTAATTCCCTAAGGATTCAGCCTTTGCACTCTTGGCAGCTCCACTGAACCCAAAGGGGCAGCACAAGGTGTAAATGAAGGCAGGATTTTTGACCCTTTAATATTTGAAATTAGGTGCTAGAGAAATGCATGTATTATGATTATTCCAACAAACAGAAAGCTTTGTTAAAAGGCAATTAAGATCACTCAAGTGCCTGTATCATCAGTTAAAGCATAAAAAAAACCAGGGTATCACTAGTTAACTACTCACCCAACCCTTGCAACCTACAACCATGATTTCATCTTCTCTGAATTACCTCACCCCTCCCAATCCACCACCCACTGCACACATGTCTCCTCCCTCCATAGCTAATGCCTCAGTGCAGACATGCTGAGCAGTCTCCCTGCTCACCCCCATTCCCACTCAGCTCCTTGCTCGGGGGAGGTGGTGTTTTGGGGGGTTCTGGCAGAATGTAGGTCTTACTTGGGAGCAGCTGGTTGGAGGAGACGAGGGCTGTTTGGGACACATACCAAGGCAGCAATGCCATGTGTGGGCCCTTAGTGTGCTGATGGTGGTGAGCACAGTCAGTCAGCTCTGTGGGTGGTACTGTCTTGTACGCAGTTGGCTTGCTGTGCCAGGGAGCCTTTCAGACACTAATACATTGATACAGAAGCACTGGGCTTCCATCACCCCAGGCCGTCTACACAGCTGCAGGCCCCCATCTGCCCTTCACAAGCGGCTTCTCCCTCAGGTCCCTCATGCATCCCTGCTCAGCCTCTCATCGCCCCCCCCCCCAATCCCTGTTAACTAATATCCACACCCAGAGGCCCATCTCCCCATCACCATCCACCTCCCATACCCTTGGCTGTCCTGCCTACTTCCCTGGGTCCCCAGGATCTCTGTGCCGAACAGAGCTCGTGAGTCAGGAAGACAGGCTGGCGGCGACGGAAAATGGAAGTAACCAACAGATCTAAGCAAATCCATTTGGCTAATCTAGGTGTAGCGCATGTCCATTATCCCAACCAAGGAGAAAGACTATGGGTTTAATTTTAACATTTCAAAAGTGGCCTATATCAGAGATACTATTTAGAGTGTGCAAGTCTGTGTCCAAGGTCTGGAGATCATGGGTGCTGTACGGTAGTTGTTTGGATACAAGTATCTTAAGAAATGTAAGGAAAGCAGGGCAACATTTCCAGGAGGGAGCACGTTTAAGTATTCCCCCCTGTAAAAGTTGGCAAATATGTTACTACCGGGCTAGAAAGAGAACTCTCTGAAGAGTTCTTGTACCAATTTTGGAGACTAAATTCAGTCATTAAAGTGTGAAACAGAGGGATTTTAGTGCTGCTTTAGGTGCAAATCTCAATGCAACTCCTGACTCCTCCCTAATTAGTATGGTTCTGATCTTTGCAATGAAAAATAAAAAGAAAAGAAACCCTGTTGCCAAATAGCTCTTGCTGATTTCCATGAACTTTCCATGCTGTGGTGATGGAGATTCCCCCAATGTTATTGCTCTTGGGAGGTTGTGAGAAATATTTAATATTGATGCATAGTTAATCTCTTCTTTTTTTTTTCTCACTGTTTTCTAAACATTGAAACAAAGCTGCCTCCTAACCCACACTGAAATAGTTCTCATGCTGGCCTCACACTGAAGGGATTTTATCAATTTTTCTGGTGCTCTGAGGGAGCCTTTCACCTAAAATACCGTGTGCTGTTCTGGACATATCAGTACCAGAATGATGCAAAATAATTGGAGGGAATTCAGAGAAAAGCAACAAAAGTGGTTCTGAGACTGGAGGACTTATAGCATGAGGAAATGTTCCACACATTACATGGCCAAGATTTAAAAAAATGACTAGTGATTTTGGGTGCCTAACAGAACTCATCATAAAAGAGGCCTGAATTTTAGAAAATGATAAGCACCCACTCTCTGAAAATCAGAACCTTTGGACTCAAATTGGGCACCCATAAAGGGGGGCACCTCAAATTATTAGTTACTTTATAAAAACTTGACTGATTTTGTATACAGTCATTTGGTTAAATTATGATGGGGTTAGTAATGGTAATCATCTACAAATGTTCGGAGGGTTTAAATAGCTCAAAGGGAGAAGGATTTTTTAGGATCATTGAAGTGCAATTAAAGGGAAAATTTAGGTTGAGTATCAGGAAACATTTCCTAACAAAATGTGTTTGTTAAGCTGTCCTGAAGAGGCTCAAGAGCGAGTATCAACCTCAGGGCAGACTTTTAAGAGACAGGGCACAAGCTGTTGTTGTGAGTTCTATACTTAGATTTGGCCAACCAATGATGAGGTGTAATCTCCTCAGGTACTATAACGGCCTTAACATGGAGTCACAGACAGTCCCTTTGAACACTTGCCAGCCAGGCAACCAGACCTTTGTGATAGATGGTCCCTTATACTGCGAATCACAGCAATATTCAGGTTACTCCCAGTCCCAATGGACCAGTAATTTACCCCAAGTCAATTACACTTTAGATCTCACAGCAGAGATGCTTGTAGCCAATCTTATAATAAACTATGTAAAAATTTATTAAATAGGAAAAGGAAGCCAGAGAGTAATTTATAAGGCTAAAGCAGGCAAGCATACATACACAAGTGAGTTCCAATGTTAAGTTTCAAAAGATAATAGAAGCTTCTATAATCAGCAAGCTCTATGTCTTTTAGGGCTAACCCAGGCTAAGCAGCTGAGGATCCTTTGCTTATGCCTAGAAATCTTGCCCCCAGGCATGAGATACAGTTCCTTCTTGTTAGGGGATTTTATTCTCTTCCTTCCTTGTGCTTTCAGCTGCATACTCAGCTGATGGGAGAAATTCACTTGCATGTCTCATCTTCATGGGGGGTGGTGGTGGGGAAAGCAATCAACAAAGTCTTTTGTCCTTTTTAATGTTCCACAATAGTTCATCTCGTGTTGATGAGCCTTCCTTGTTAGCCAGGATATAACACTGTCAGTTGGAGCTCAGCACTTTACCTGTGATTTACACAGTCATAGAGGCTTATAATACAAACGTTTAAATATTATCTTACAGTATTGGCTACAGATGATACAAGTGAGATTGTAAGATTCATAAAGTCTAAATTCTAAGCACATGTTTATAATTCTAATACTTATTTGAACTATACTAAGACACAAGTGAGCCAGGCTGATTTCAGCTGTGTATTTGTCAGTGTTCCATTGAGGTCAGGGATGCTTGGCATGAGCTGGCATCTGGTCTGCCAGTGTCACAGTGGTATATTCGAGTGGAAGAGTCTTTTGATGTAGGTGGTAGAAACACTGCTTGAGTAACTTTAAAATGGGACTGGACAAAACACTGAAGAAGTTGTTATTGGCAGGGCCAACTCCAGGCACCAGCTTCTCAAGCAGGTGCTTGGGGCGGCCGTTCCGGACAGGGGCAGCAGTTCCAGGTATTCGGCAGCAATTCGGCGGAGAGTCCGTCAAAGGACCTCCCGCCGAATTGTCGCCGCAGATCGCGATCGCGGCTTTTTTTAGATCACGATCGCAGCTCTTTTTTTTTTTTCTTTTGGTTTTGGCTGCTTGGGGCGGCCAAAACCCTGGAGCCGGCTCTGGTTATTGGGACCAACCCTGCCGATAAGATGGTCACCTCTAGCTTTTATGATTATGTGACTCTACTTGTGATATAGCAGGTGTGTAATGAAAAATTCTAGTTCTGCGGGAACAAGATAGTGAGTTGAAGTGAAATATACAAAAGGGAGACTTATAAGAAACCTTTAGAAGCCACTCAACTATCCTCTCCCTCACTCCTAGTGAGAGTCCTGTGGCACCTTTAAGACTAACAGATAAAGGTGCCACAGGACTCTCTGTTGCTTTTTACAGATCCAGACTAACACGGCTACCCCTCTGATACCTCACTCCTAGTGTCATTTTAAAATAAAACACGTCATTTGAACATCCTAATGGTTAAGAACAATAGACCTGATTCTCATGTACGGCAAAGCCTCTTTAAAATGCTTTGGCAGTGTCAAGGGGCTTTAAAGTGAGTAGAACTGCAAGCTATGTCTCCTTGAAAGCCCTTTTCACTGACAGAGTGGTGCACAGTGGCCTTAGTGTAGATGAGTACAAGGCTCAGTCTGTTTAATAGACCATTTTTATTTTTATTATGGGATGACCCAAGACTGGACTGGGCTGCTCAGCAATGAGGCACCCGCTATAGACCAAATGAAGTCTTGAGAAGGTGCTCCAGTGATTTGGTTGGCTGGTCATCTTTGTGAGTTTTATTGTTTGATCCCACTACATACAATGAACTAGTCCATCCTTAGAGAAAGACACTTTTCACTGACTCTGAGAGCCTTTATTCTGTGAATTAATCCTATGCCTCAAAGAGACGCTTTGGGCCCTGTTCTGCTGCCACTGAAGTCAATGCCAAAAAGTGCATTGATGTCAATGGCAGTTGAATAGGGCCCCTAGAGGTGCATCTCACTTTCCTTACTCCACTCCCTGCAGCCCTCTGCCTCATTAGCTGGCCACCTGATGAGGGCAGTATCTCTACCTCCATACCCCTGTCCCATCACAATCATTCAATCATATGTGAAGGAGATGCCTCTCTGAGAGATAGTGAGGACTAGGGTCTGGAGCACATGCGGAATATTCATGCCCTTTATGGTAGGGGGAATTAAGTATTGTGAGCATGCTTGCACTAATATGGTTGTGATGGGTACTACTTGCACAGCAATTCAGCAAGAGCCAGAGAGGAAAGTGATCATCCTATCACAGTGGCCAGTAATGATACGTGAGAGATTGCCTTAGTCTGTCTCTCTCAAATCCTTAAGTAACTGCTCTCCTGTTACCCCTCTGCCACTGCTACTTCCCCCCGTTCCCTCTCTGATTCCCTCCCTGCTGTTCCAAGTCCATTGCAGTGTCACTACAACCCTCATTTAAACTGCGGTCAGAGAGGTAGGTCCTTGTTCTATGTGTGGTTCCTATGTGTTTAAAATCTTCTATCTTTTTTCTCTCTTCTAGGTACCTGATTAATGTCACCTTTGAAGGGAGGAATTTGTCCTTCAGTGAAGACGGCTACCAGATGCACCCCAAGCTGGTGATCATCCTTCTGACCAAGGAGAGGAAATGGGAGAGGGTAGGACATGTTTGGAGACTCTTGGACTAAACTGGGAAGGGGAGGGTGGTGAAGGTGCTCATCAAGTTAACCCCTCTCTCTTCAGGACTTCCTTGTACCAAAGGGTGACCAGCTCCTTACTTCCTCTGAGGATCTGTGGGAGCTGGATTCGGGTATCTCCAATAATACAAGGACACCATCTCTTCTCAAATGTAGGCCACCAATACATTATCATATTAGTTTGCATAAAACGTTCATAGATTCACTCATGGTTCCCTTCAGCATCCATTTTCCTGTTTTACTTAATAGAGTTCAGCTCCCCACAGTCAGTTGAATGGACCCCTGGCTGTAGACACTGCAGTTACCAGCTTCGCCATACATATATGACATGAAGACTAACACTCAGGAACTTCAGCATCAAAATCACAGGCCTTTACTAACTAAAAGAGATACAACATTAGCTATCCTTTGTATCAAGGTTTAGGACTCCAGCCACTAGCGAGAGACACATGCAATTTGCAATGGGATGGGGTGTTACGGAAGATGCACAGGTATGACATTTTAGGTAAATTATTTAATGAGTTCATTTGCACATTGGAAAATGGAATTTCAAGGTAGAAGGCAGCTTGGGTGAAAGTAATCATGAAATGATAGAGTTCATAATTCTAAGGAATGGTTGGAAGGAAAAAAGCAGAATGAAGAGAATGGACTTCAAAAATGCAGCCGTTAACAAACTCAGAGAACAGGTAGATAATGTCCCCTGGGTAGCAAGTCTAAGGGAAAAAAGTTCAGGAGAGTTGGCAGGTTTTTAAAGAGACATTATTAAGGACATAAGAGCAAATTATCCCAAAGCGTAGGAAAGTTAGGAAGTCTGGTGAAAAACAGTCCTAGCTTAACCAGGAGATCTTCAACAACCTGAAACTCATAAAAAAAGAGTCATACAAAATGTGGAAACTAGGTCAAATTATGAAGGATGAATATAAAAAATCCCCATAAGCATGTAGGGACAAAATTAGAAAGGCCAAGGCACAAAATGAGATTAAACTAGGTAGGGACATAAAGGGTAACAATAATACATTCTACAAATACATTAGAAGCATGTACAGACAGAATAGGCCCATCGCTCAGTGAGGAGGAAGACTAACAGAAAATGCAGCAATGTCCACAGTATTAAATGTCTTTTTTGTTTCACTTTTCACCAAAAGGGTTAGCAGTGATTGGATGACTAACAATAGTGAACATCCGTATAAATGGGGTAGGATCCAAGGCTAAACTAGGGAAGGAAAAAGTTAAGACTTACTTAGACAAGTTAGATGACTTCAAGTCAGCAGGGCCTGATGAAATACATTCTAGTATACTTAAGGAATTGTCTGAAGAGATCTCTGAGCCATTAGGCATTATCTTTGAGAATTTGTGGAGGATGGGCGAGATCCACCAGCACTGGAAAAGGGCAAATATTCCCCTTTCGATAGTTAGGCTGACTAGTCCTTACAGTACCTAACTTCAGTACCCAGAAAGATAATGGAGCAAATAATCAAACAAACAATCAATTTGTAAGCACCTAGAAGATAATAGTAACAGTCATCATGGATTTGTCAAGAACAAGTCATGTCAAACCAATTTAATATGCTTGACAGGGTAACAAACATTTTTGATAATGGGGAAGCAATAGATATCGGGAGTGGACTACATCCACCCTGATTGAATTGGCCCTGTCAACACTGGTAAGGTAACTTCCTTCTCTTCATGTGTCCATATAATAATGCCTGCATCTGTAATTTTCACTCCATGCATCTGAAGAAGTGGATTTTTAACCCACAAAAGCTTATGCCCAAATAAATCTGTTAGTCTTTAAGGTGCCACCAGACTCCTTGTTGTTTTAATAGATATCATGTATTTCAACTTTAATAAGGCTTTTGATACTATCTCATATGACTGTATCATAAACAAACCAGGGAAATATAGCTTAAATTAACCTACTATAAGGTGGGTGCACAACTAGTTGGAAAAAGTACTCCAATAGTAGTTATGGTTCACAATCAAGCTGGAAGAGCATATCGAGTGGGGTCCTGGAGGGATCTGTCATAGGTCTGGTTCTGTTCAGTATCTTCCTAAATGATTTGGAAAATGGCATAGAGAATACACTTTTAAAGTTTACGGACAACACCAGGCTGAGAGGGGTTGCAAGTGCTTTGGAGGACAGGATTAGAATTCAAAATGATTAACACAAACTGGAAAAATGGTCTGCAATAAATATGATGAAATTCAATAAAGTCAAATGCAAAGTACTACACTTAGAAGGGAATAATCAACTGTAAAATACAAAATGGGAAAATGACTGCCTAGGAAGGAGTACTGCAGAAAAAGATCTGGGGTTTATAGTGGATCACAACGAAATGAGTCAACAATGTAATACTGTTGCAAAAGAAGTGTACCTCATTCTGGGATGTATTTGCAGGAGTGTTGTCAATCTTCCATTCTACTCAGCACTGATAAGGCCTCAGCTGGAGTATTGTATACAATTCTGGGCACCACACTTTGGGAAAGGTGTGGGTAAACTGGAGAAAATCCAGAGGAGAGCAATAAAAATGATTAAAGGTCTAGAAAACATGACCTACAAGAAAAGATTGAAAAAAATTACGTTTGTTTAATCTGGAGAAGAGAAGACTGAGGAGGCACAAGATAACAGTCTTCAAAGTACATAAAAGATGGTTATAAAGAGGAGGGTGATGAACTGTTTCCTTTAACCACTGAGGACAGGACAAGAAGTAATGCTCTTAAATTGAAGCAAGAGCGATTTAGGTTAGCCATTAGGAAAAACTTCCGAACTTTCAGGATAATTAAGCACTGGAATAAATTACCAAGTGAGGCTGTAGAATCTCCATTACTGGAGGTTCTTAAGAACAGGTTAGAAACAATGATGGTCTAGATCCTTAGTCCTACCTCAGTGCAGGGGACTGGACTAGATGATCTATCAAGGCCCCTTCCAGCCCTACATTTCTATGATATTTCTAAATAATTTGCATCTAACCCTAAATGTCATCTTAACAATGGTGTGGATTTAGTGCTAGTAGTGCTAGTAGGTCTATTTGAACTGGGGCAGGGAGGGCCCTCCCCCAGAGTAAAGGAGGGATCAAAAAAGGAACTGGGGTCAGCTGAGTACGGGGGACAACTCAAGAGGGCTAGGAACAGGAGTGAGGTGAAAGGTGCAGTAAAAAGGTGTTGTGGGCACACTGAGCAGAGAACCACACACAGTGCCCACGGATGCAAGAAGCTTTGAAGTGGGGAGTCAGTGGATGCTGCCCAGAGGAACGCTGTAAATTTTAACTGTGAGGGTAATTAACCATTGTCAATTTTAAAATCAGGAGTTGATGTTTTTCTAAAAGGTCTGCTTTAATTCGAATGGGAATTATTCCTGGGAAGTTCTGTACCCTGTGTTGTACAAGAGGTCAGACTACATGGTCAAAACAGCCCCATCTGACCTTAATGGATGAATCTAAAACTGGTACAAGGGAGGAAAATAGCCCCACAGTCACAGAGGGCATTTTTATCAGTGATCTTTCTTCTCCTGCACTTCTAAGTGGTCAGCTTGACCAGTGCTATAAGGAAGTCCATGGGGAGACTTTGTGGGAAAGTCTGATACATAGGGGCCACTATACATCTATTATGCGGGAACACCTTTTATCCCTGACTGAGCTGAGCTGGATTCAGACTGGTGACCCTCACGTGAAAAGCTTTGTATACCTCATTAGCAGCACCCTAGTTTCATAGATTCCAAGGTCAGAAAGGACCATTGTATAACAGAGGTCAGAGAATTTCCACAAAATAATTCACAGAGCATGTCTTTTAGAAAAAATCCAATCTTGATTTAAAAAATTGCCAGTGATGGAGAACCGATACATTGTTCCAATGGTTACTCACTCACCCTGTTAAAAATGTATGCCTTATTTCCAGTCTGAATTTGTCTAACTTCAACTTCCAGCCACTGGATTGTGTTACCTTTCTCTGCTAGATTGAAGAGCCCATTATTAAACATTTGTTCCCCATGTAGGTACTTATAGACTGTAATCAAGTCACTCCTTAACCTTTTCTTTGTTAAGTTAAATAGATATAGTGATTGAACGCCTTGAGTCTAAGGCATGTTTTCTAATTCTTTAATCATCCTCACGGCTCTTTTCTGAACCCTCTCCAATCTATCAACACTCTCTTGAATTGTGGACACCAGAACTAGACACAGTATTCCAGTAGGGGTTGCAGCAGTGCCAAATACAGAGGTAAAATAACCTCTCTACTCCTACTGGAGATTCCCCTGGTTATGCATCCAAGGATCGCATTAGCTCTTTTGGCCACAGTGTATCATTGGGAGCTCATGTTCAGCTGATTATCCACCATGCCCCCCAAATCTTTTTTCAGTCACTGTTTCCCAGGATAGAGTTGCCCATCCTGTAAGAATGGCCTACGTTCTTTGTTCCTAGATGTGTACATTTACATTTAACCCTATTAAAATACATATTGTTTGCTTCTGCCCAGCTTACCAAACGATCTAGATTGCTCTGTTTCTGTGACATCTCTTTATTATTTACCACACCCTCAATTTTTGTGTCAGCTGCAAACTTTGAGTAATGATTTTATGGTTTCTTGCAGGTCATTAATGAAAGTGTTAAATAGTGTAGGGCTAAGAACCAATCCCAGCAAGACCCCTATTGAAACACACCTGTTTGATGATGATTCCCAATTTACAATTAAATTTGGAGATCTATCAGTTAACCGGTTTTTAATCCATTTAAGGTGTGCCATGTTAATTTTGTATCTTTCTAGTTTTTTAATCAAAATGTCATGCGTTACCAAGTCAAATGCCTTATAGAATTCTAAGTATATTACATCAATACTATTACCTTTATCAACGAAACTTGTAATCTCATCAAAAATAGATATTGAGTTAGTTTGACAGGATCTATTTTCCATAAACCCATATTGATTTGCATTAATTACATTACCCTCCTTTAATTTTTAATCGAATC